CCTATAATAACGCCTGCCATTTGAAATAAATAAATAAATATATTGTCAATGAAATATTATTTATATATTTATTGAAATTTTCATTTTCATTTGAGGGTTTCAAAATAGCTTTTAGACAAAGGCATAATATAGATCAGTAGTGGAGTAATGAGTCTTCAGTATTTTTTCACCTGACATGTTCTTATTGTATCAGGTTTTTGAATTAAGAAATGGGAAAAACTCACCTGATTTGAACAGTATTCGACTGAACACTTCCAGAGCGATTAGTGATGACAACGGAATAAGTGCCCGTATCTTCCGGAAAAGTGTACTCAATATCCAAACATGCGTAGCCACGATCATAGGCATCGTGCATTCTTGAGCCTAAAATTAATTGGAACAGATTTACTTAGTCTTAATCCCTTTTTTTATTGTGAGATGTAGAAATTGTATCTTGTTTGAAAACATATATCAAGGGATATGTTTCATGCCTCATTAAGTTAACTGGGAATGGATTATAATTATAGTTGGATAGAATTTTTGCAAGATTGAGCGTTTTGGAGGACAAATTTAGTCAAATTTAGAATAAATAAATAAATTCGAAATGTTCATTTATTGTTACTATTATTACTTCCATTACTATTTTGTTTTCTTTCAACCCGTTGGTCTAACAAGGGTGATTTCCAACTGTTATTTAATTCTACCTACTCAAGAATATTTTCTGAACATCAATTCAGTTAATTACACAAAAGGTAACTTTTGCTAATCAGAAGGACATTAATGATATCACCCTCTAAGTTTTCCAATGGCAAATTAAACTCATTTAGAGTATTTCAAACTATCATTATTATTTCAATAAGGAGTGTGTGATAGACTTATCTCCACGTGGTGCACCCTAGCCAACGTATACTCATACGGCAAAAAATCTATTAACTGGCAGTTGACTTCTGACTTCAAACTACCATCACCCCACTGTAAGTCATATTCCACCATTTACAGTACTCACCTCACCTTTTTTCTACTTTTGTGTCTGTCTGTCGCTTTTACATCTTTGAAATACTCTTCTGTTTCCCCCCCCCCTCTCGACTTTTTTACTTTGATGTTCCTTCCCCTCTGTGAAGCCTGGAGTCAACTAAATGGGTAATGATAACTATCAAAACACCTGCAATTCAATATAAATAAATTATTTCGATCATTGGGCAAGTAATTCCACTACAACTCTGTTTGATGGATAGGTAGCATTTTTTGTGATTTTTTTCGAAATATTGAATTGCATTAATAAAATAATTAGGACAGACAATATAAAAAATATTGATTTTAATCGGACATAAAAGTACCATGACCCTAACAATTTTTCAGCAATTTATGCAAATATGTGAGGAAATAAAAATATATTAGGCTCGACATTTAATTTTTCATCAAAGCCTTCGTTCCATAAATGCACAATTTTATACCGTTTGACCTTTAATTTAAGTGGAAAGAAATCAGTTAAACACATTCATTTATTTATTTATAAGTTGAAGTGCTGAAATTTAAATAATGAGTTCCTCAAATATCGAACTCCTCACATCAGGCCTTAAAATTAGCTTTTGTATGTAAAACTTATAAAGAATTTCAGACAAAAGATAGGTTAGAGCTCTCTAGGAAAAAGAAAACATGTTGTGAAATACTTAAATTCAAGTCCGATTTTAGGCTATGAACGGAGGTACATTAGACACCATTTCCAAGCGATTGAGTGGTAGACTGTGGAGATAGGAATATCTTCACGAGTATTTCATACCGGAAGTTCTATTGTTCCTAATTAAATACGATATCGAGATGGTCATATTTTTTTCGCATCCATAAAAACTCACTCCAACCAGAGATGGCTTAGTAAGAAGCAGCGGAAGTAGAATTTGCAGGCACGTCTAGCGTTCAATATCTCCCTCCCCACCAAATCTATCCATTTCAAAACTCCTTATTAACAAATAAGCAGCATTTATCCACATTTCTTCTCTTTTTTTTTCCAGAAAATTATAAATACTAATTTAAATATTTAAAACGATAAAACTTTGATTAACTTGAATTTTCAAAAAATTTAATTCTCAATAGAATACCTGAAAAAAATTTAGGAATATTCTTTCATTAATTATTGAAAGCTATTGAACCGAACTTTAATTTTTTAAACTTAACTAAAATACCCTCTTCTCATATGAATTATTATAGAAATTGCCGCAATTAATTCAGTAAATTGTTACCAGGCAAGATCGGATTGCCATCCTTCATCCAGGTAATTTGGATATCAGAATCGGACGTAACTCGAACATCCAAATGAACGGGTTCTCCTTCTTGAATAGTATTTCCTCCTTCCAGAGCCGAAAGCAAGCGCGGTAGTTCGCCGGCACTCATATTTTCAAAAGCGAATGCAGTAGCAGATTTGGCAGGATTAGGGGAGATAGCCGCGGACATATCTCACTCTCACTCTTCTTCTTCCAAGGTATGCAATAGGGCCCAAGTTCGGGTCAATCTGGGTAATCTCGTTGGTGCGTAGGTGGCGCGTTATGACCTTGAAAATGCCAGTAACAGCACACACAACTGTGATTGGTTAAGGGTCTGCACCTGATTGGAGCCAGCGTTGCGGTGCCCTCCAACCTACAAGCATGCAAAATGCCATCAATTCTACAGAATTTGACGCCCACAAAATTCCCTACCCACCCACATTCTTTTTCCCATTATTCTTGATTGTGAATCGCATTTATTGATTATCATTTGGGTTGCCATGGCTTTATTCTTACGTGGGAGCGGTATTAGAAATTAAAATGGAACAAGGCTGTTTTGGCATGTAAATTCTTGGATAACTTAGCTTGTAGGCAAAGGAGTGAAACGGATCTTTATCCATTTGAACCAACTAGAACATACGACACTGCAATAAATTGATCTTTAGCCTTTTAACGTCCACATTATTTTTGTTTTATGTTCCAAAATATTTTGCCCATACTTTTCCCTTCTTTTAGGAGTTTAGTATTAATGAGATTATTCTGAAAGACGTTAAAGAATTAAGGCTCATTTGGAATCCATTTTATGTAGGATGCGAGGAATTTTAATGATGACCTTTCTATGATAGCAGAAAGTCGACTTTGAATGAAGCAGAATGCTCCAAAATTTGTTTTTTTTCATAACGAATGCAACCGCAAATAAATATTACAGGGAATGCAAGGTTTCATGCTTCGGCTATCAAATTTCAAGATATTTTTACCTTAAACCCCAAAACGTAGTCTTTTGAAATAGATAATTGTGAAACAGTGTCTTCCTTTCAGTTGTTGGGGGTTCACCAATGGGTACAATTGAAAAGTAAAAAAACTGGATGGATTTTTTAGCATAGAACCTTCATACAGACACTCTAGTTCAAATCAAAATTTCGAAGTGGAATGAAATCGAGGTGTAAAGCTATCAATCGCATCACAGTCATTACGCATTGAAAGTGACATGTAACTTTCATAAGCTATCTTGGAAGGCATTTAACAGAACACAACTTGTTTAATGTCTTGGCCTTGACCCATGACCTTGTAGTTTCGAATTTCAATCTTTGCACGTCGACCACCTACAAATATTGTACTTAATTTATGGTCGTCATCTATTGGTGATGTCATTTTTATCTCTTCAAATGATAGCATTGATGTTATTTTAAACTCTTTCCCCTTCAAATCGCAATGCTTTGCACAGACTGAATTGGCCAATCGGATAAGGAGTGTAAACACTCGGTTGGCTGCAAAATTAAAATGTTTGTAGATTTCAAACGAATACGCATAATGTGTTAATTAAATCATTTTTAGGAGTAAATTATTTAAGGGTAAATTTCTTTTAAATGTAAACAGGAGGAAAATTTTAATTTTTAACTGTTTTAGAACCCGAATTACATTTAAGCTTTATCGATATGCTAAAGGAATTTTCAGCAGTCTCATCTCAATTTATTTATTTAATAAACTAATCCGTATGAGTTTATAATCTTGAGGCTTCAAAGCTTGTTTGCAATCGTGCTGAGTAAAGCGAATAGGTTTCATTGCATTACCTCAATAAAAGTGATATTTATGTTACAAATATCAGCAAAAATTCTATGGCGAGATCAATGACTTGCAGATGGCAACTTTACTTTTATACTAAATCCATTAAAGAGGCAAATTTTAGACCAGAATGCCAAGTTTCACACCCTATTAATATTTGTGATAACTCTCGATGATGTTGAAGACATAGCAATAGGAAAAATGGGGTGTGCGATAGACTTACCTCCAAGTGGTTCGCTCGGGGCAACGAATACTCATACGGCAAAAAAGTCTACAAACCGGTAGTTGACTTCTGACTTCAAACTACTATCACCCCACTGTATGTCACATTCCACCACTTCCTCAGTTCTCACCTTACCCTTTTCTCTACCTTTGCACCTGTCTCCATTACATATATGAATCCCTTTTCTGTTCCTCCTCTCAACTTTTTTGTGACTTAGGTGTCCCTCCTCCTCTCTGTGAAGCCAGAAGTCAGCTAATGGGCTAATGATATCTATCAAAAGACCTGTGATACCAAATACGCTTCCCATTGTTTAATAAGTTCACATTCGAGCTTACTCATCTAAATTAAGGGGAAAGGGACATCAAAGCGATTAACATGGATCAACCACCAATTCAATGAAATTTGAAGACAATGCTTCCTCTTACCTGATTTGCACACTCAATCCGATCTGTAAATTATATGAATTTATCATTCAGAATTGACAAGAAATCATATTATAAGTCATGCTGAAAATGAGAGTAAGAAACAGGCGGTCCGTCCGTTTTAATCGCACCTAAAATATCAAATTTTTAACTATTTCATTATCGATTTCCACTTCATGACCCAGTGTCTATTTGTGCATTACTATTGCCAAGCGGTTAAGTGAATGTTGTACAATTTTGTTGTAATTTTTCTTATAAATACAATTGTAAAGCATAAAATTGGTATATTTTTAACTAACGAGAAAAAAAACAAATGACGCCTTCTTCTGACCGAAAAAACGAAATAGATGCAAACAAACTGGTCTCTTATTTCCCAAACACAGTGGTGTCAGTAGCTAATTTTTCCCCTAAAATACCCTTTTTGCTAAGACATATGTGCACGCATTAGTCTGTTTGCGATCTCTGCGCGGAGGGTAGAGCAGAGTACACCCGTGGAGTGGGAAGGCGGGCACGTGGAGTAATTCGCCTTTCTCTCCACCCCTCCCCCTCCCCTCCCCTCCCCTGCCCTGCCCTCCCCTCCCATCCCTCCTCTTTCCTCAACACTCAGCACTGCCTCACTTCCCTCCTAACCCACTACTCACCCCTCACTAAACCAACATTCCGCCTTAGTTCCTACTCTCTGAGGACAATAGAGGCCCAACAATACCATGGCAACGAGTTGTAACTATCTCCTCGTAGCATCAAATTCATCAACGTTTGGCGGTTTCCGGAATTTCTAATGCTCAAGCTCTTACCATTACCACCACACCATACACATTCTCTTTCACCCAAGCTAAGCAACTTTCCTCCGAAATATGTGTGCGAATACTATGGGGGTAAGGAAATTCTGGTATTAGTGATTATCAGTTACTCAAATCACTCCACCACAAGACAGTGTGGAACTCGTGGGGTTGTTACGCTCCCCTCTCTCCCTCTCTCTAACCTCCCTCAGCTACGTTAGTATCTGAGGCTTGATCTCTTCCACAAAATATTGGACATTTCAAAACAAACCACGTTATTTTAATAATACTAATATATATATATATATATATATATATATATATGTATATGTATATTAACCTGGAAATTTCATACGAGAGTTATTTTCTATTATGCTTTCAAATAGGGATAAATGGATAAATTTGCCTAAAAATAATTAATGAGTGTTATTTCCTGAATTTTTAATAAAAGAAGCTTATTTTTTTAATCAGTGAAGCAAACAATGCAGATTATTTGTCATTATATGCCAAATAATCCATTTATAAAAACAAATTAATTTGGAGGCGGTTTGGAAAATGTGGACATTAGAAGGTGCTTATTTTAGTAAAGTAATTAAAATTGTAATAAACAGGTAATAGCTCAACCTGTTCGAGGAATTGAATATAATATTAGAGTTTATGGCGTTATTTTATTTACCAAATTATATATCCCATTCGTTGTCATAGTACGCTACCAAAGATGACACAATTGAGTGTATATTTATGATTTATCAATGATGATACGACTCCCAATTTTGTCTTCTAAATTTTCACTATGTATTACGAAGTACCCATTAATTAGATTAGCAATAGCATAGAATTGATTGGCTCAAAAGATCATATTGTTTAAACGGAGTTGCACCCTCTTTAAATCACTGCAGATGGTTGATTTGAAGTTGGAAATAAATTGATAATACCAAGAGATCTTTACTTCATGCTTATCCACAAGGCGATTGAAATGAAATTTTGGCCAGCATCAGGTGAAATGCACTGCTTTTGTGGCACATGATTCAGCTGAGATGCATTTTAATTTAGGCGCATTAAAAATCTCTATGCGATAATGTTACAATTGAGAGATCTAAATGGAAAACTGATTAAATAACCGCGTAGAGCCCCGCTTATCTTTTCAAAGAAAAAATAAGCAGGCCTAAATGTAGAAAAAAACTTTTCAGGGGTGAGCCGAAGCTGGGTTGTTAGCTGAGATAGATGCCTGTGATTCAGTCATAGATGGTCGATTTTTGATTTTCCGATCTCCTTTAAATACAGCGACACTTTTCTCCATTAAAAAGGTATTGATATTTGAAGAAATCTTGACAATAAAGAAGAGAACTGACATTTGGGACAATGTTAATAAACAATTTGTCCTGCTCTTATTTAAATTCACCAGTAATTTGTACTTAAATAGAGTGCTTGGATCATGGTAACAACTATCACCACACCTAAGTCGGCCACTGAAACAAGTTACTTAGCATTCAGCAATTGTTGAAATGCATTAAATTTCCTATATTAACCTACATTATATTAATTCCCAATATTTTATTACAAGGAGCACTTGCCTCGGGTCTCTGAAACCAATGAAGTGGTTGGTTTTGACTCTCAGGTGCGGTATTGAATCGCGTTGGTAGATTTTGTAAGAGCTCACATTTGAATGTTAATTCAAACCAATGAATAAATGAAACTGACATATTTATTACGATCCAAGGAAAAGCAAAAAAAAATATTAAAGGTGTTGTGGAGTGGAATAAATGAGGAATCGATTTCGCAAAATGTGCTTTATTTCAATCGAACAAAATAAATTAGCTTGTGTTCAACTGACTAGCATTTAAAGGTGGTATAAGAAGGTCTTCATTAGTAAATCTTTCCCTCAAAATGAAATTATTTTAAAAGTTATTTATATTTTTTTTAAATTACGTTAACGGGGTGTAAATTTCTTTTTTGGTGGCTCCTTCAATGCCACAAGTCTTAT